TCTTAAGGTGTTCCTTTACTTAATAACACATTTTATGTGTAAGCAAAAAATTAAATGTTACCCTGAGTTACTGACCCCTTAACAAAGACAGAGTAATCTATGATATTGACTGTTCCTGGCATGCTCCTACACAAAGAACTGCCTTACTGATAGCCTAGAAAGAGTCTTTGATCCAGCTCCAACATGTTGGCAAACCCTGTGAATAAACTACGTCACCGTGGGACCTTGTTACACAGAATTCAGTCTCCACAACTCTCCAAATCAATAAAAAAGCTGCTCGTTCTTTCATTTTGAACTCTGGTACAATCAATTCCTCATATTTCCTGCCCCTTAGACTGACTTTAATTCCCACGGCACTTCTCTGCCAACATTGAATGAAGTTCTGGGAAATTTGTGTGCAGTTGCATGCAGAGGAATCTGTTTCTTGTTGACCTCTGACCTCTCCTGTTGGCTTTGAGTTTACCTTATAACTATATAACTTTTTATAAGTTTGTTTATTTTCCATATACCAAATTTTTTTATTGATATTTCATTTGATTAAGTTGTATTGTATGGACTCCAGAAAGAATAGTATGAATGTAATACAACAGTCTAAATGGAGATCTAATAATTTAAAAAATAAAGACAAACAAAGTTGGTCAACTTACACCAACCTTTGCTAACATAGAACAGGTAGTTATCAGGTCAAAATGGCTGAACAAAAAATAAACTTTTCTAAAAATCTAAAAAAAAATTTTCCATGAGCCACACAGCCAAAGATAAAACTTTATCCCTCCTTCCATCATATAAATTTAACTTTTACATGATCTTCCCTCCAAAATGGCAGTAAAAGTAACAATCTCTATAAATTCCAGTTTCCCAATTGAAAGCACTTAGCTTGTATCAGCAAAAGCACAGAAAGCGGCTACTATGAATACAAATGAAGCCATGAATGCCAAAGAATGCTTCTGTAGTGGTCTGACATTTGCTATGGTGAATGCCAGGGTATTCCAGCTAACATTAAACTTGTCTTTAGGGCAAGTTTGAATAGCAGTTACTCTGACAAAATGCTTCTTAATCAAGGTCTACCTCTTCTCAGAAGTTGCGTGGCCACAAATATAAGCCTCACTAGAATACTGTAGAATAAATTCTTTTATTTACAGTGATGTGTGGCACATTTGAAAACAGTCCATTCTAACTGATTGTTATTGAAATAGCTAAGAGCAATCTGTGACACTGTGGAAAAGGAAAATCCGTCAATGACAAACAAAATGTGAAACCAATGTTAGCATAAACATCAATTTCCATTTCAAAGGGGCAAAGTGGTCATGTCTTATGGAATATAATTTTTCATACTGCCAAGACAGACATGCAACATTTCACTTTGCATCAGAATTGCACACACAAACTTGAACTTATTACGGAGGAAAATGTGTATGAGGCAACATCAGCATTTTCAGTTTCAGTGTTTATTGTTTGTAGTTTAGGCCACACAAATGAATTTTTGTGATCCATAATATTCAGGTACTGAATCAAAAAAAGTTCATATTTTTTTGGCCCCAACAGTTAAAGAAAGGCCTTATCATTCTATTTTTGACACTTTTTTTTCATCTATCAAATTGCAGTGATTTGATTGAAAATTTAAAATTCATTGTTTCTACTAGAAACCAGCTTGGTATATTGGCTTCATAGCATTTGTGTCTATCATAGGATGCCTAGGTCTGCTTTTTTTTTGCCCTGTCACTTTGTATTTTTCTTGAAAAAAAATCTAACAACCAACAAATTATATTGATGTGGCCTAAAGCAGTAATCATCCAGGCGTCAGCTGTGTACTTAAGATTCTCACCAACAGCGAGCCGAGTGGAGCCAGGCGTGGGCTTATCTCTGCAAACGGTTCTTCCACCTGGCCAGGTGGAAAGACGTTAAACCCAAAATGACGCCAAAATTTCACCGACTTGAAAGGCACCACAGGCAAAGCCAAGGCCACGATCGATTTTAAGGAGACTCCTTGAAGCTTGATTAAATCAATATACATGTTTGGTAAGTGTTCTTCCAACTTTTATGATACAGTCAAACCTGTTGTCACTTGAAGAAAATGTGTTTAATGGTCACAACTGTAGACAGGTGGCCACAATATAGACAGGATTTTAAATGCGTGGGTCCATGGAAAGGATAGTTTACTAAGAAAAGTCAAGTTCCCACAATGGCTTGCATTCTTGTTGTGTATCTTATCTTTTTCTCCTGACGTCATCACATTGTGGAAGTGAATCAGACAATTGATGAAGGTCGACAAGTTCGACTGAAAATTCATGGTGAGCGTTTCTGTTGTTTTCGAACATTGATCAGATTTTACACCTGTGGATTATACCAACACAGATGAGCTTTCTTTTCATCTTTTTTTTTTGTTTAGGTGCACTAACATGTATTTGCAAAATTGAATCCTGCTTGCAACTATAGCTATAAAGGAGTGCACATCAGTCTAGATATAATACCAGCAGCTTGAAAAACAGCAATCACTACTCTCTAATATAAAAGCTTGCAAAGCTGGGCTGATATTATCAGCTTCAGTATATAAAGCTCTTAAGCAAGGCTTATGGAACCAAACCTAAACCAGCCTTAGAGCGTTCTTAACCTTTAGAAAGCTGGCTGGTGGTGTTGACGCTGCTGCTATCATTACCAGATGTTATCGTCATATTATTACACCTTACGCATTGTAAATCCTGCATCTGCATCTTGGGCCATTGGACCTTACTGCTTTAAAAACAAAATTCAGGGCTCAAAATACAAGCTGTGACTTTATAAAATTGTGACTGCAGGTATTGAAAATCAGAATATTAACTAAATTAATTTTGCTGGTTTCAAACCATTCAGGCTTACAATCATGTAGCTCGGTTAGGTCCATGTACTTTATAGTTATATCTGTATTGACTAGTACCACCTACACTTTTATGAAGCACAAAAAGAAGAAATAATGGCAATTTTTTCTTAACAGTTTTTAGTATGATCCACATGAATGTTTTCTAAATTCTGAGTGGTGGCTGCTGCAGGTAAAATTTGTCTGGTGCAGGTAATTTTCAACGTTAAAAGTGCATGTAGGCAGAAAAAAGTATTTCGGGTCCTGACTTAACAAGTAGGTTGTTTGGAGATCTTTATTCATGCTGATTAAGTATAAGCCTCTCTTGAACTCAATTACCCTAATGCTTCACAACCTCATCAGAGCTACTCGGGTAGAATTCCTTTAACCAATCAAGCATCAAGAAGGAAACTGAAGAATTTGCCAGAGCAATTTACGGCAGGTTCGTTACAGCAGGCAGACTTCAGAGGACACATTGATCAGGAAAATTGTACATCGGCTGAATCAGATGATCTCCTCAATCAGCAGGGTCTTTCTTACAAAGACTCGGAGGTAAGGAAACGTAGGTTTGATCTCTGAGTTAATCATGCGTGGGTGATTTTGAAGAGGACAGGATTAAACCAGCAGAATTTGTGGCTGAAGGTCTGAGACTGACTAGAGCTGTATACCTTTTAGGTAAAGGTTACACAGGTACAGTCAGGTTTAGGTACAGGTCCATACCAAAACTTATAAGTTTTTGTTTTTGGAGAATTCTCAGACAAAACAAGACAAGACAGATTAGTTTTTGACACTACAATTTGTACCCGTTCTTAGATGCAAAAAAAAAGTGTCAAACCAGCATCACACTTGACCATTGACCAATTTCAAGGGGTCAAATTTTGAAATCGCCACAGAATTGCCTGCAAATCTATCCTGAAACATTGGACAAATATCAGTGGGCTGTGTTATTGAAAATTGCACAGTGACCGAGAGGACACTGGCCTTGATTCTAGCCAAAATTGTTTAGAGCTAGCGGGCTCACTGTGTGAGCTTATTTCCTACTGAGTCACGGACCACTGCTTCTAGATGAAGATATTGGAGTTTTTTCAACTAGTAGAATCTCACCTGCTTTACATCTTCCCCAGGAAGATACATAGAGCCGGAGAAGCAGTACTCCGGTCAGAAGCTCTGAGGATGATGTCTGATAAGCATCGAAATGTAAGCATGTGAGATTTTCTGGTTGTGGACAGAAAACTCCAATATCCTTATTAGCTGTACCAGTTCCTGATGAAATTTACAAACATCTACTGTATATGAGACTACCAGAAAGAGAAACATTACCAAACTGTACAGCTGACTTAAGGACAATCACAGTAATAATTGTATGTAATGTAATTTTATGTTAGCTGTACGTCAAAAAAAGCAATGTAAACATATATAATATCTTTGAAGTAGTAATACTTTTATGTCCTCTCCTGGAAGACAAGATGTCACTTAGTCAAAATTTGTAGACACTGATAAAGAGATTTATAGGGAGAGTTTGAACTCCAATAAACTGCAATAAGCGCAGTACAATAATATGGCACATCATCACGTAATGATTGTCATTAATATCACTACATCAAATGTGACATAGACTTTAAAGACATCTTTCATCCCCCATCATCATATTGCCTATACATAATCCTCTAGGGAAAAATCAAACATGTATCAACTTTGATCACGTAGCTTTCAGCTCAGTCCCTCCAGCAATCATCTATCAGCTTGTCTGATCGTGTCATCTCATACACAGCAATTACAGCAAATTGATTGCTCTTATCTTGAGCGGGCAAACTCTTTTCTAAGACATCACAACTGCTGCATCCAATGCACAATCACGCACAGCCATGTGTTCAAACATGCATCAAGAACAGTCAGTAAATTCGTGACTCAATAATAATTTCTTTAAATGTTGAGACGAAACAAATTTTAGCAACTGGTGAGAAGCAAAAACGTCCAGGAATGAGTTGTCATGATATGAAACATAAACCATGTTGTACAGTGTAAGACCTGTGTGCATCTATGTATTCTAACATGCCTCAAAAATCAGTGAATCCACGACCAAAACATTTCCCATAAGACTGAAATCTCTAATTTGATGTTGTCTTAGTTCAACTTTGTTTCTTTAAACGTTGTTAAAAATTCTTACCTTGACCTCTTGTTACTCCTCCTGCTCTTGGCTGCCAACTGTCCTGCAGTATCATTGGATCCTCTAGGTGGCATAGCTGCACATACATCTTCAACAGTTCTCTGGTGCGAGCCATTCCTGGCTGTACTTGAGGGGTGAGTCTGTATCACAGGTGGACTGTCTGTGACCTTGACAGGAGACAGGATGTCCTTGAAATCGGCAAAGCTGTACTCACATCCACTTGAGGAGCTGCAAGGATTCAAAAAAGACATTTTTGGAGACTTTCACCTCAGGGTGCTAGCTAGACGTCTGAATTAAGTTCCTCAAACCTAAGCCTCCACCTGAGGCCTCCTCTGGTAGAATTATGCAAAAATGGACCAGAAGAGCTAATCTGCAGTAAGGGGAATATTTCCTCTTCAACAGGCAAATAAAAACCATCGTTGGAAAAATCTTCTGTCTTCCTATTTGACTAAATATCATGTACTATTTTTGACAAGCATAGTTAGTGTGGTGGAGATTAACAAGCATAACTAAGTGTGGTGGAGATTCATGTACTATTTTTGACAAGCATAGTTAGTGTGGTGGAGATTCACTCAAATTATATTAGGGAGTGAAGTACAATGTTCTCGGCATTTCTATGTGTCTGACAAAATAGAAAATCCAACAAACAGCTTAAAAAACATTCAAAACAAACCTAAACTGTAGGTCTCATTCCAGCTCATCATCCCAAATTCAATGTGATTAGATGTTCTTTAACAAGATGAGGCCGGCACAGCGTAAACCTATTTGTGCACCTCTTCAAGAAAACTGACATCCACTAATTCTGCTGATGTCAGCGAAGATGAAGCAATTAACCCAAAGCCCAATAAACTGACTGTCCTACCAATACAGGTGATTCAGTTTATTGCTTGGTGATAATTACTTTACCCAAGCTGGGAAACACAGCACGACCCTCAGGTTTAGTGTTAAATGAAAATCATGGAAAAATCTATATATGTTGTGCTATTTCCATGTATTGATTCTTAGATTACAATAACTTAGTGAAACTATAAGGAAAAGTATTTTCACAAAATCTGTCCTTCATTGCAATCAGTAGACACATTTAATTGCAATCAGTAGCCAATCTTTTACATAGCATATGTAGACTCCAATGATGGCAAATTTTGGAATGGAGCACATTTTGGAGAAAATGATCTACCTTAGACTTCATACTGTGTTCTGTCAATATTGTATGGCTAGAATCAACATGTAGATTGCACTAGTTTAAATAGTAATTGCTTGTAATTTGCTTCTTATGCAATGTTTACTATCAAAGCTATGCTAAACTTTCCTATTCATTACACCTGTTACAATTGTTGTCCATTAAACTTTGACCTGTATTCAACTTTGTAGGAAACAGCAGTGCACTTTGAACTTTGCGTGACCCCTGACCTGAACTCCTCCTGCCCCTCGCTGTCGAGTGCGTCGTCTTCTCGCGACACCTCGAGAATCGGGGGGAGTTCCACGAACACCAGCTGGTAACGGGACATCACATCAGCACATCTGGGGGAAAACAACCCTGTTAACAGAATGGCACAGTCCCAGGCTGCTACTAGCGAATAATGATGCGATCGTACCAAAATCATAGTCGGGGATGTACAAGTAGTCAGAGAAAAAAATTGTGGTACCTCATGAGAGACAAAACACACTGTGAAATTATTATTTACAGAAAATCTGACATAGAAATAAACTGCATCAATCATCAAAAAGCATGATAAATCATTCTATCTTCAATATCTACAAAGTTGCTTTGTCCTAGTAAGCATATAGAAATATGAACAGAAACATTGCCAACTGTAAACTTGAAGTATCATCAAGAAAGGTATTAGCAATCAGGACATTGTAATAAACATTCATTCACAAGTCCCAGGGCCAAAAGTACTCATAGATCAGCTAAGGATCTGATAGGCATTGAATTCTTATACAATCATGTATCTAGATTTCAAGAGCATTTCCCCAACGGTATATATGCAAGGCATGTTAGTTCCCCCCCGAATCACCAGAACATCGAATTTGGATTCTGCAGAACTTGAACAATTTTAAAAATGTCTAAAACATACCTGATTTAGCATCAAAACCTGTCAAAACTTCAGGATTCACCAACATCTTTCCAACAGATGTAACAGCAAAGCAGTCAAATTGACCAAAATAACCAAATCTGAGACTCAAAACATCCAGGGAGACTATTCCATCTTCAAGACCTGTAGTTAAGACATTAAAACCTTCGCTGCTGCCACGAACGACCGAACTTCCCCCAAAGAATTCCCCCCTAGAGTTTACTTGCCTGTATCCACAGTCAATTTGCAAGTCGATGACCACCGGATCATACCAGGGATGTCTGAGTGTGTGCAAGACTGTAGCTGTCTCCCTGGCCTAGTTATGCCACAGCACAAATAGTCTGGCAACCTCAGAGTTTGCCCAGACAACAGACCAACTGTGAACTCAGGACTAACAACCATCAACAGAAAAACACAGGGAGCACTGTCAGACTGTGTTGTGCAGCTGACAAAGATTTCTTCTTCAAGCCCACAAATAATCATTCAAATCCTGCAGGACTCATTGTATGTTAATATGTGTGTTTTCTTGTTCGCACAGCCACAACAACCAGACATTTTGTGAGAATCGACTTGTAAATCCTTTATGAAAACATGACTTGTTTGTCTAGTGTGTCGATTCAGTGACTGTATTTTCCCCCACACATTGAGCTTTTCAAAGAAATGATGTCAGTTCCCAAATGGCGTTTTTGTGAGAACAAATTCCTCGAACCTTAAGAATGTGAACCACTTCCACAGTTTGAATGGGGGATAATCCGATAGTGGAATAACAGGATAACCATTCAATTTCAGGGATGACACGACAGCAACAGTATTACATTCACTTCCTCCAGGATGAAACAAAGATTCTAAAGAGAGGTCTGGACAGAAGTTGTTCTGTAAATTGTAATATAAAATTTATATGTCAGAAATACCTGCACAGTTCCAATTTTACCTGCATATGCACTGGTGGTGTTTTAAGCCATGAATTATGATTTTAAAAATTTAAAGAATTAGTCATTATTCCCTATCACCACTATAAAAACTTGAGATTGGCATTTAGTGTAGTTAAACTGCCCAGTGGGGTCAGTCACTGGTCAACATGTCAACAACCGAGTAAACATCAAAACAAACAAAAACATTCCCAACAGATGCCAACAAAATGGGGGTTACATAAGTCAATTATTTTTCCTTAAGTTTTGATCACACATTTTCTAAGTACCCCAGGGAAGTATATTTATCATGATAGTATGTGTGTACGGTACTAACAGTTGTTAACAGTTACATCAGGTTGGACAGAAGACTCGTGCATATCAAAACTTCTGCTATATCAGTAATGTTAACCATTAAATGTTCCTGTACCAGAAATACATGTTATACAGGGTCACACATGAAATAGTGATGTGAATTACAAACTTGTAATTTGCCAAAATCTACAGTACTGTATGTCTATCAACAGTTCAGCTTATCAGATCATAACGCTCAATTCTCATCAGCCCTCAGTTAATTAAGATAAGGGCTTGGCGACAATCATCACATCTTACCTGTACAATAAAAGCAGCCTTTTCTAAGTTAACATCTCTGTTGTGTTGTTGGTAGGTTCCATAGGTGACTACACAGGTGACCCAGACAACTAATGCAGGTGGATCTCCTTTATCAGGTGATCTGTAGAAGAGATACAACATTTGCATATGAACAGGTGTTAGTGAAACATCTCTTGGGGTCATTCAGTAACCTGTTGTCAGAGGGATTCAGTAATTGTTAAGGAGATTTACTGTGAATGAGGATACCGGACTATCTAGTTAATGATCTACAAAACTTTTTTGTCTGAGATGTATTTTTAGTGATAAAAAGTTAAAGACATGTTTTATGTGGTTAACGTGATATCCAGTAATCATACAGAAACTGCCAAAGCAGGGAATAATTCATTCATTTGGATGTGATTCAAAAAACATAGCTTACCACCTTCCCCTCAGACTTTTATAATGGTACATGTATATCCTGAAAAGGAAGCAATGTTGTAAGCAACTAACACTCAGCAGCTGTCATTAACATTGTGCAGCATTTGTCTATCTATAATCTTAAAAACAATCAAAAAATGTCTTAGTTACATGTCACGTTACCTTCTTGGCTGCTGACTTGATCGACGAAGACAAAGCGTAGACTTATGGTAGTCTCAGATGGTCAGACTTCAGCAAGCATCTTGGGAAGCCTTTAAGAAATAAAAATAAACATAGTCACCTTTAACTAAGAAGTATGATCTTTAACACTTCGCTTCAGCAGGTGTTCTGTGCCCAGTGACACCAGGTGAGTATGTACTTAGTACTTCCCTTCACCTGTGATGTTGGGTTTACAACAAAAGACAGGAGAGTTTTGTGTTGTGTCGGGGCGTGTTTTGTTCAGCTTGACCGGAGGTGAATAGTGAGCATCCTCTCTCTGTCATACACTCCGTCAATACCTCTTCACACACAGGACGGCGTGCCGCATTTACATCGCGTGGAGGCTCTCCGCTTACACGCATTTCACTCGGCTAAGGTTTCCGAGAGACATTCTTTAAGTTAAAGACCTCTTCTGACACAATGGTAAGACTCTTAAGGGAGGAATCAAAGACTTTAAGGTGAAGTCTTTGTTTAAAAACCCAGAACTAAGCTTCAAAAGTTCTCCAACACAAGTTGTGATTCAATGCAACTTTCTGACAGACAACACAGATATATAAAAAAATCAGTCCAGTGCTTCAAAAGAAGCTAAAGATGATTGATTTCTATTCCATACCTTACTGTATAAAAAAATGATGATACTGTCAATTTATGCCTCTTCTTTCTAGTAATAATATTCATACTGAATAGTTTGAGAAATTATTTCTTCTTCTAGAGAGGAATTGTCCAAACTAAGTTAAAGAATGAGCATACCCGTGACCAACACCCTCACATTGTCAAGTCCCTTACCTGCAATCTTACACCGGTCGCTATTGACACAGGAGCTATTCTCGGAACACAAAAAAACCTTGGAAAGAATGGCGAAGAATTCCTTTCTGAACGTAGTTTAGCTAGGGTTGACTTCACGCAAATCTGGAGAAGGGCTATCAACGGATGTAAACTGTGGGAGCCTGTTTAATGTCAAGGTAATACTTCTCAGCAACCTAACACTGGAAAGCAAGCTGTTAGTAAATTAGATTAGTCAGCTGGAAACGACTGCTATTTCAGAGGAATGTTTGGATCTGAGCATGACCTTTTACTGGTTGAAACTCTGGAATTCGGAGAAGTTTGAAGAATTTCTTAGTCACCAGTGGCTGTTCTTACCAATTCTAATGAGTTTGAAAAAAAAATAAACCAATCAATTAATCAATCAAACACTTAATAGCTTCAAAACAATCTTTCAGTACAGGCACCCATGGCCAAACCATGGAAGTTTGCCAAGATCCATTTTTTGAGCAAGGTTTGCATTAACATGTAATTTTTCTACAAACTTTTCATATTTTGTTCAAGAACTTAAGAAGATTTAGCTAACCCGATGCACAATTGAAAATGATTATAAATGACTGACTGCGTGGAGAAAAAATCTTTACGATTATTTATGCTTATAGATTGCTCAATTTAACTAAAGTTTAAGTACATTTATATGAAACAAAAAGAATTCAGATTATTATGGTACATGTAGTTTCATTATAAGTAGCCTGGTACCATCCTGGTTTTGTCGTTAGTGGGTTAATGATCATTGGAGTGGTACTACCAGAATGGTACTAATGTACCAGAAGGCTACATTATGAGTAGACTTGCTTACCTTTCTGTTAAGAAATCCCCAAAAAGATGCCTTATAATGCCTCTCTGATCATAGCTTTTAAAGCCAGACTTTCACCCTGTGCAACTTCAGAAGTGGTGACCAGCACTGAATGTGACACTTTTAGAAATCTGCCACCAAAAGACCCAACCCGAGCGGAACAAAGGCACAACGAACGACTTGTTTATCAACCAAACGTGGTTATTTTCTCCAAACAATGGTCAAGTTTTTGACCGGATCACCACCCAAGCGGTCCACGTGGGATGAAGGGGGATGGAGTTACCCAGGAATGTAGCAACAAACGTGCTCCAGGGATGGAAATACCCCCAGCATATGCACCTTAGTGCAGGTAAAATTGGAGCTATGCAGGTATTTCAAATGTTGACCTGCACTTATATATTCCATGTACCGTGTGCAGGGTATATATACAGGTTAGAAGAAGAAAAATGGGAGCTGTGCAGGTATTTCTGATGTGCATTTTATTACCACCTTTGAAGTACAAATTAAAGAAATAATGGCAATGGCAATGGTTTCTGAACAGTTTAATGATGAATGAATCTAAATTCTGATTGGTTCAGGTCAAATTTGTCTGGTGCAGTAGTAATTTTAAATGTTAGAAGTATACAGAAAGAGAAGGATTTCGAGCCCTGCATCCCAAAGAACTCAAACAAATGTTAGCAGGGAACATGGGTTGGGTTTACAGCGCATTGTTCCGCGGGGCGGTATTAAGTGTCGGACCTTTGCTTGTTGTTGTTCTAGCAGCGCAAAGAAAAACAAACTCCTTCTGGTCTTTCTGTATACAGGAAGTGAAGAAGTGTAAGGTGTGGGGCTACATTCAGGTTTGAGTAATAAAGTAAACATGCTACTTCCTCAAAGGATATTATCAAAGTGTGATGAAAAAAAGCTTGTATTGAATTTATGCCATGTCCCAGTTCAATTTGTTAACGTTACATTACAATGGTTTTCAAAAAATGCTGAAATGCCAAATGTAGATATGTTTGTGAAGAATGATATCAGAGGGCCTTATGCATGCATATGAATTTTATGATGTAATAACTTATTGAAATGAGTTATTATGGGCCTCCTTTCGTCTCAGTAGACAAAGGGTTTGGTCCAGGAGGGTCTTGGCACTTTGTTGACTGAACAAGCCTATCCTTGCTACAGGCATGCTCTGCCACATGTTGTACAAGTGAATGTGGTAGTTATATAATGTTAATTAGTTTGTTACACGTTAGTTAATTATAATAAAATGAAATAATGAAATTATGGTAACTAACCTATTAAAAATGCACATGAGTTTCATACTGAGGGACTTACTAGTATTTACTTTGTAGTGAATCAATAATGTTACTAGTATATTGACATATACACAGCTTGAACCATTATACAAAGGTGCTCTTAATTGTCCTGGCCATATCTGATAAGACTGTACTCAATCACTGTAGTAATTATGCCTGAGTTGTTTTTAATTGAGTCCTTGTGTAGCAAAGTGGTTAGCTATATACCAAGGAGGTAGGCGTATTTAACCTCCTTGGCTCTACACAACCGAATACTTCAAAAACACGCACCATTGCCAAATTTTAAACAAGCTGTTTTACTATTTTTGTGTAACGTTAACGGTTATCTTAAGATGTTGTTGTAATCTAAGTGCGTGTCAAACATTACGTTAACATCAATAGTATCAGTCAACAATTGGCAAGAAGCCCGAGCATTATCTAACTATTACAGCTATGTCAAAGCAAAGGGGGTAAGTTCAAATGAATTTCACCTCCTTGGTCAAAGTTTTTGCCACTTTCCTCAAGCATTAATATCAAATTCTTTGTTGTTGTTGTTCAATTTCTACACACTTGCAAATACCCCCCACCCTCCTCAACTTCACCAAATCATCGATACCATCAAAAAGACGGCAAGTTCCGCAACCAAGAACAGGTTATAGGTCTATCTAGACGTTACCCTTATTTACTTAACACGCTCACCAGGTGTATAATAGCTCCATGAGGAGTTAATAATGGCTTGTCAGGCCCAGTGAAACGGAAAACTTGTTACCTTTTGTGCTGCGGCATTTCATAAAAGGCCGCCCGAAAAGGCCTCGGTTTCCCGGATGGATAAAAAACGACGCCTAGCGGTTCAAGAAGGTCTGCATGGTTGTGTGTGTAGAGGTAGAATTGCTTATACTAGTAACCTCCTTGCTCATATTTAGTTACTCCGCCTTTAAACTGCGCTGGTTTTACTTCCGAATATAAGCCAGGGATGGCGAGCCTGGGAGGGCAAGAGGGAGGGGTTGGGAAAGGGTGAGAGGGAGGAATAGGGTTAGGATGGAGATAGAGGGATTGAGAGCGGGTGAGAGGGATGGAGAAAGGAGAGAGATGGAGAGAGAGATCGAGAGGAATGGAAAAAGGAAGGAAAGGTTGATATCAATGAAAAAATTGATAGATGGTTGTAGATGTAAATATCCCAATATTATACACCCCAACGTTCGAGGTCAAACAAATCATGCACCTGTAACATGAAATGCCTTATAACTTAGCAGTCATGCTACCTTTTTATCAGTAATCTATGATGGTGATGAGTAATCTATTGGAATCTTCAACCATTGTTAGGAGTTCCTTCCGCCATTAATATTTCAGCATGTAGCAATCAAGTAACTAACAGAAAATTACTTTGCCACACGTGCCTCTTCGTGTTTTCCTCTAAACTCCAAGCAGATGTTGGGGCAGTGAGATTCTAACGTTTCGGGTTGCTGCCGATCGTCAACCTACATCAAACTTTTTTTTCCGGGATTTTGTGAAAACTTCACGGCCGATTGATACGAGTAAGAGTCCTTTCATTTGCATAAACACATACATGGACAAGTATTAGCTGAAATAACCGTACAACTTGTACTGCGTCTAGAGATAATTTACGTGAGTGCATCGGCCCTCTCAGGAAAATTAGCAGAAGTCACTTATCCCGTGTATTGTTGCTTGTAGCCGCTGTCATAAATTTTTCAAACGTAATACCCGTAGCCAAAGCCCTAGGATTATATTAGGGTACAGGGGTATTACATGTAGCTCTACGATAAAATAAAACTTGTACAACATGAAGAAAAAAATTCGCCAACAGTACGGGAAAACATCAAAAACTTGTGGATTTTTTCTTCATAAATACTCGAATGTAGTCACCGAGGAATTTGCACATTTGCAATTTTCAAAAGGAGAGGGAGAAATTAAAAATAGTTGTCGTTGCTATAGGTTACACAGTGCCTTTTGTTCGCTTGTTTTCCCATTCAATGACGCAAAGCAACAGTTGGGTCACTTTAATGTTGCAACAGGAGAGGGGGGCGTCTTATCTAAAAATGTTTTCATACTAGAATGGTAAGGTTTATTACATACGTAATGCATGCCACAGGATTTGTTTACAAACGTCTGTTTTGCATGGAACATTGTAACCTTCCAATTATGTCAGTAACTCCGTTCTCACTTGTTCTCGAAAACTTTCGTACCCATTGTTACAATGGTTTCACCCTCGCAGCCACCTGTCTACATTATAACGGTACACCCGGGGTAGAAGTCTAGTAGTCGGTGATATCTCCGTTTATTATCCTTGTTAGAAAATCTATTTCGAAGATATAGTTGAGGCAGTAGGGGAGCCTGGAGGTCGTATAGTGATCAGCTTATGTCCGATCTAATCGGGAAGAAGTTGATCAAGAATTTGTGTTTCCTTTTTAATTTTGGAAAGTCATTTGGGCGTTTTTTTTCTGCGTAAACTGTCAGTGCAATCGTACTCAACAAGTGCGCAGTTGTGGACTGTGCACTCTTCGGAATAGTATTCCTACTGGACTACTTCTGGCGGAAAGAAACCGATGAAAATGTCTGCTTGGCATCTGTTCTCCGTTGTGATCACAATTTGCCTCATTACCACCGGCCACGGACAAGGTAAGATGATTTATAAAACAAACGCACGTCCAAAAACAGAATGATGAACATGCATCACATTATGTCGTTAACGTTAGCCAAGGTAGTGCAGTAACTTGTCCAAGAGCCTTTAATTTGCTTTTTACATATAACGTTACACATGTACAGCTAAAATGCACAGGACACCTTTTAAATGTGTTCTGTGCATTATAGCTGTGCTGCATACTCTTTGGGGCAAAAAAAGGTCAGTGTGAAATGTGTGGTGAACAGTTTGTTATTCAACCGATGTATCTATCTATAGCTTTTTTCACGGAAAAATATTCTTCGATCCGCTTGGAGGACTGCACAGGATACGGTTATTACGCCCTGTTGTGAGTGGTAATAAGGAATGCATGTATGTATGTATGTAATGAATGTATAGAAGCTAAACTTATGGACGGTTTTCAATATGCCTTATGTATATGATGTCGCACCCATTCCTTTATCAACTGTTGTAGTTGCAAGATAAAAACCTAGCGAAAAATCAGGCTCCGGAAAAATGGCACAAGACAAGGACATTATATAGTAGCCTGGAATCCATCCGTGAACGCTGTGTCTCCGCTCCGTTCCGCTGAAGGCAGAGCGGGGGAACGGAGCGGAGACACAGCTAGCGTTCATGGATGGATTCCAGGCTAAAGACCGCCCGGGGGGGAAGACAATTGCAAGACGGAGGGGAGAAAGTTGAAGGTTGAAGAAAAAAAGAAAAGACAATGAAATGCAAACACATAATTGAAGAAAATTCTAGGGATGGGAAAAGAAATAACCGAAGAAACAAAGTAAAACGGGTGTAAAATGTTAATCTGAAACTATTCTTAGTTCTGATCAGTAATTTTACGTACGGGCCGGTCATTAAAAGCTGACTACGAAAACAAGTAAACCAACTTTCATAAACCACCACCTTAGTTACCTTTTTTTTCGCGATCGAAAAAAAAAGCTAAATGTTGAGCAAATTTTTCTTTTCCCCGGAAATTATAAACGCCACTCTATTATAAAGATGACAGGGAGACCGACTATCGCGTGTGTGACATGGGAGCAATTAGCAGCAAATTTTATGGTCTTATGGTCTTATACGAAGATGATTGCATGGTATCAAAAGTAGCCTTCAAACATTCTAAAGCGACTGTCATTAATATTTAAAATTTGATTACTTAGTTAGTCCTCAGTGCTTAGGAAGGCCTCATCAACATGTCATGCCTGAGTCATCTGAGTTATAACGTTAATTGCTAGCGGCGGACAACAAACAGTTCAATGCGCAAAGAACATCATGGGCCTAAAAATCGGAATAGAATAGGGTGGGAAACTGCAATACGTCATGGAACCGCATGGGAGCACAAGTGACTGAGGATTTGTTTACATGTGACCAGCTGTGTCGTGGGAAGTTTGAGCTGCGGTTTTCTTTCAGTTATTGGGAGGCAGACCCTTGTGACTTTCTGGTGCAGAAGAATCTTTGAGGTTGAAATGAGGGTCAGTACTTTCATGAAATAGATTTCAATGGGCAGACCAAATGGTGGTATATGGTATCTGGCAGTATAGGCAGGAGGGGAGGGGGGTCTATATTTTGCCAACGTGGGATATATGCGAGTCGTGATGTAGATGTAGATGTAGATTCCTTCAAGCCAGGTAGTAATATTTTCCAGTTTTGGCCGCTCTTGACTTCAGCCGACAGTCATCTCAGGTCGCATAGGATGATCCAAGGCTCTGTAGTTAAAGTGATGACAGCTCCCAGCGTGAACTGTTTTAAAACCAGATTTGACAATCATATGAGACTACATCCAGTAGTATAT